TACCAAATTGGTGTCTAACCCAATACTCAGCCAAGGACTTCAACTATCAATTTTCTATCAAAGAAAATTAGTAGTTATGTTGTATGTGTAATTGTTCTATATTTACTGAAAATGTAAACCACAACGCATTAGTGCAACATAATGAAACCGGTGTTGACTAATTATTTATATAAATAATTGAATGCTTCCTTGTCTATCGTGTGATGTGTAATTCTTCCATATTCAATAGAAAAAATGGTGGTAATCAAGTACCGAAAAATAAGATGTTTGTTCTTGTATTGTGTTGGTGAGTAGTTTAAAAACAATGTAATTCGTATTAAAAATTATATAAATAGTTATGACTGGAGTTGTATGATAGCGAATGAAAACAATTGTGGTAAACAACTACCAGAAAATAGTATAAAGTAACTAAATAGGTTTTCATTTTCATAATTTAGTTTCAGAACTCACCAAAATTCGTTGTTAAACAAGTTTTCTGCAGGTTTTGATTCTAAAAAAAATGACAACTTTGTTTCCGTTTTTTTTTTGTTTTCTGTTGGGGAATCTATAAAAAAACAGAATGGCAAGTGAACAGGGCATTAACTTATGCAATACTTGTAGCGGCATATGGGGCTAATCCTTACTGGTTTATGTAGACTCACTTGGTGTATTAGAATAGGTCTATTTTTTGTAATTTGGTTGCTGCCAGGTTTTTATCTATAATAGTAGCAGTAGTTTGACAAGGTTCTTTGCTTTTACAATGATATTACTATTTGTACTCAGAATTTCAATCAAATAGAGTGCTTTGTATGTCACGTCCTCTTTCATTCGTTCTTTCCTCCCACCCATTAAAAATGCTCATATCTTCTTCATTTCAACTAAAAAAAAATTCAAACAAAACTACTAGTTAATGAGATCTATAAAATGGGTGGCTACTTCAGTGCACTCACTATTTTGGGTGCATTCGGTGCACTCAACTCTAAAAGTGGTAATAATACATCGAATTTTGAATTTTAATGGGTATCATTACTCTAATATGATGATATAATATAGAATCACAACTAATCAAGCTATTATCATAACCCTGAACCTTCAATTTTGAATTCCAACCCAAAATCCCAAATTGTAAACCCTAAACCTAACCCTAAATTCCTAAACCCTAAATCATTCAAATTAAAGTAAATCTTGAATGATTTTTGTACAAATTCATGTGTTTCTTGTTCATCCAACCACAAGTGCATTGAATGCACCCATAAAAGTGAGTGCACCGAATACGCCACTCTATAAAATGATACCAACTTTGTATTTTTTTTTAAAAACAACATCATCATCAATGAAGTACTTAGGGGTGTTCAAATGGTGATAGACCGCCATTTACACATGTTTTTACCCTCGTTCTTACACCGTTTGAGGTGTTGATTCTCGTGTTTTAGGCCGATTTCACGCTAGGTTGTGCTTGTTTGTGACATTTCAGGTCCTAGTACGTGAATGAAGGCTTGGGAGCGAGTCTGGGGTCGATTGGACGAAGATCGGACGAATGGCGAGATTTCAAGGAAGCTGCACGGGCATACCCTGGCACCGCACGGCCGTGCACGTGAGCAAGATGGCCTTGCGCTTTTTGCCGAGGCCATGCACGGGCAAGCCATGGAAATCGCACGGTCGTGCAAAGTGCAACCCTGGCCGTGCGAGAAGCCTTAGATCGAACTAAACGACACGCTGCGTTTTGAGTTGCACGGCCAAGTGGGTGATCTGCACGGCCGTGCACCCTGGCCGTGCGAGTCGGGAAATCCTGGTTTTAGAGCCTAATCCGAGCCAAAAGTGGGAGAGTCGTGTTTTCAGAGCAAAAACAGAGCCCTAGAGAGAGAAAGTACGAAGAACACATCCTAGAAGCTGTCTTAGAGCTGGATTTCATCGAATCGAGCTTGGAGATCGTCATAGGAGTGGAAATCATCGTCCCGGAGCAGATTATCCTCATCGTTATGAGTATGACTAATCCGATTCTTGTTTTCTCTTCTCTCTCTATGGAGTAGAACCCTTCTCTCACTTGGGTATGAAGAACCCTAGTTCCTTGTGTTAGGGATTTGATTGTAATGACTTGGGATGATATTACTGTTTGATTTTAATCGAATGACGCATGTTTATTGAATTGATTTGAGTCTGATCAGCTTTTCTCAATTTCTGCTGCAACCTGAGATAGATAGAATCTGATTAGGTTGTTAGAGCCTCTTCATTCGATAGTAGGAGATTGGCTATACGAGAGTTAGCCAGTTTACTGCTTTGTACTGGTGTTCTTGGCGCCAGTAGTGGAGTTCTGTGTTCATAGCCTTAGCTTTCTATCCCGGTGAAGACTAGTCGTCTGCCGGGTAGTTAGACTGAGAGGGCTTGGTCAGCTTAAGAGATTCCAAGCTACTGTCGGATCTTCCGCAGTCTAATCAACAGTAAATCAACCCAGGGAATTGCAATTGAACCTAACTAAGGGGCTAGGGGGACTCAATCCCGAGTGACTCTTGCCTGCTTTAGAAAACCGAACAATTTACTGCTTTCTTGTTGCTTTTACTTTTAGCAACAATCACTCGAACTAGTTTGCTAGATAATAGAGAATCACGGAGTAAGCAGTAGATCTAGACCCCGGTTTGATAATTAAACTTGCCTGTTACTGCATTCCCGGACTGCGATTACACTTGGTCGCAGTTTGGTGTTGTGTTTTGGCGTGTCAAATGGTTACTATGGTAATTATCAAACCAAATAAGCCTAAATTCTATTTACCATAGAATACAATACCATAACCAAACCATCAAAACTAATACAAGAACCAAATTAACCAAACTAAAATTTAATCGGTTTGGTTAATTGGTTGACCAGATTATTCAATATAACATCACATTATCATAAGTGAGGAAACTTTCCAGTTGATGAATCTACTCTCAATTTATATAATGAATAATACATAACAATCAACACATTGTTATAATCAACCCTTAACAAAAGTACATGTAACTAATGCAATTATTTTACCGCCAATAGAAGTATTTACCTGACAAACATATATGCAATGGTATATGGGGTTAACGAATTGGTGTATTTGGGTGAATTTATTAAGTCTTTTAGCAATTATTATAGGTTGAAAAAGACTTTCTTTTCAAGTTTTCATCCAACATAATATGAGTTTTATCTATGTAGAGAAGTCGTTTACCGATAGGATGTTGAACAAAAAAGGAGCACTAGTAAAGTCAACCAAGTGGAAGAATATAATTATTCATGGATAACTATATGGAGTTCTCCTGTTTGTAGTAAAAATCTATGTATATTCATAGAGGATGAAGCCAATTGGCATAGGTTTGATAGTTGAGTGTAAACCGAAGAAAACTATGTTCTCACAACTGTGTATGCTCTTTTCTATAAAAAACATAATTTATGGCATGTATATGTGTCGGAAGAAACAAAATGAACACATTTTTAGTTGTTTCTGTTTGTGAAGAATCAACATGCACAAAGTCTTCAACTATTTTACTGTCATGCCATAGTTATCTTTCGTTAATCAACGTATGAGCAAACTTAGACATGGATCTGAGTGGTATCAAATATGCCTTTGACCAGTGATTACCCATGCACTATGAAACGAAGAATAGGCCAAGAATGCTCACTTTTGTATCCTTTAATCTATTCTCAAATGCAGGACAAGAGGACAATAAACACTGCTACCTTTGTGGACGATACCTTACCAAATAATAATTTGAAGTTCAAGAAACAATACACCCCCTAAAAATTGGGTTTAATAAATTCTCAGGTCTCAAATTGCAACTCCTTCGGATTATGATTGAACCTAGATTCATATCCCGCAAAATTCACATATCTGCCGCAGAGCTCCGGCCATTTAAGTAGTGTAAATATAATGCTTAAGAATTATAGAAAAAAGAATTTGTGTGAAAAAACCGAAGCACCTGCTGCAAGCCAACAACTAAGAAGAAGGCAGCGAGTACATTCTTTTTTACACTTATCGTATTCCCATCTGGCCATCCATACACAAATAATGCGGTTTTCTATGACTAGCAATAACACTTCTATCTACCACTTGGCAAGCTCATTGTCATCTGGTTGTTTGAACAATTGACACGAACTTGATCGCCAAATTCAACGACAACACCAAGTCTTTTAGTATTGAAGGCTGGTTCTCCTGGCGATGGAAATGACTGGATTGTTCGACAGCATCTGAGATACTGCCGACATTAATGGCCTCTCATCGGGAGCTTCTTGCACACACAAAGACCCACGTGGATATACTTCACGAGGATTGATGCATGTACCCTTCACTGTTGGTCAATCAGATCTTTTGGTTTCCTTTCTTTGCATATCTCCCATGCCTTCAATCATCACATATAAATATATATCCATAAAAAAGCTATCAGATCTCGGTTAAAGTTTTGGTGTCACTAGAAAACTAGAAAGGCGAGTAATCGGCTCACCCAACAAACAAGTGAGAATGGGACTTCAGGATTGTAGAACTCTGTGTTCCTCCTCCCACTCACTATCTCCAACAACAGCACTCCAAAGCTGAATATGTCTGATTTATCCGAGAATTGTCTGTAGAATGCATATTCAAGAGACATATAACCAGTGCACCAGAATGTGAGGTGTTGTTAGTACTACTAATCAATCAAGTGTCAAATGTTTGTTGCTTAAGGATTATCGAAAGGAAGGGGTAAGCATATACTATGTTCCAACTATACAGTTGGTGTTAGCTTCAACTTGATCGATCCCCAAAATCCTAGCCATTCCAAAGTCTGAAATCTTGGGATTCATTGCTGCATCCAGCAAAACATTGCTTGCCTTGAGGTCTCGGTGAATGATCTTCAGTCTTGAATATTTATGGATGTATAACAGTCCTTGAGCTATGCCTTCTATTATCTCTACTCGTTTCAGCCAATCTAACTTTGATTTCGCAGATGAGCCTGGGTACCAGCAACATGCACCAATTGATGATCAGGGTTAGCAAACAACCAATAAGATATGGTTGCAGTTCTTCAGTAAGGTGAAGTATGTCCGCCAAAGAGAAATTTATCCAAGCTTCGATTAGGCAAGCACTCGTATATAAGTATCTTCTCCTCCTTTTCAACGCAACAACCCAAGAGTCTAACGAGGTAATTATGTTGGAGCTTTGCAATGAGCTTTAGCTCATTCGTGAATTCCTCCAACACTTGTCCATATTTCTTTGAAAGCCCCTTTATTGCTACTTCATGATGAGGAAGCAGATTTCCCTATGAAAGAATTGTAACACTGTAAACAAAAACTACAGTAAAGAAGGATTAACTATTGTGTAAAGAATAGACAAGCATACCTTATAGACAGGGCCAAAATCGCCCTCCCCTAGCTTATTGGACTCAGAAAAGTTGTCTATGGCAGCTAATACATTCTTGAAGGTGAAAAATGTGAGGTTTGTTTTGTTTTCTTCGTCCCCATTCACAATCTTGTAGTTGCTCTCATAATTACTTCCTGATAATTTAAATGATTTTATCAAATCATAAGAACTTGAAAGATTCTTTGGCAACCATTAATTAGTTTTCTTCACTAATACTACAAAGAGAAGTTTACCTAGCTTGTCCATGTGTTTCCTTCTCAAGCAAGCAAATACTATTGAGCTGATTATAACAACAACGAAGCCTAGAGAGCCAAACACAGCACCAAACACTTTTCTTTTATTACCAGAACTTGGTAACTCAGCAGTAACCCTTAAATAGATAGGTAGTCCAACAGGGTCAACAGAGACTTTATGAATATCAAACACATCTCCAGACCAAACCGAGCACCTACTGCCTTCATAAGCATATGCATTGCATGAACAACGGTTTAAGCAAACCGATTCACATTGTCGAACATTCCCAACTGATTCATAGGCCTGAGTACCCCATCTCGAAATGCTCACTGCATATCCTGTAATGAACCCATCACTACTCTTCAATCCATCACAGGGATTCCCACACTGCAGATAAGCTTCTCTGATGCCTCCACCGTTATAAACGTTGGAGATGTAATCATCCCTGGACTTGGGAACGAACCCTTTTACACATTGACAGTAAGGAGGCCCAGATCTATCATCGCAAGAACAGAAAGCGCCACAATATCCTTGGACTGCACACTACTCTCTAGGTTGCGACCAAAACAAATTCCACTGTCCGCTAGACTCCAACCACGACGTCTGTTGAATGTTACCATCAAGACTCATCCCGAAACGAGAAAGGATGGAGTTGTTGTACAGAGAATAGGTGAAATAGGTCTCGTTCTCATTGTCAACAAAGGAGAAATTGTATATGTACTTCAGTCTCATTTCGGGAACTAAGCTGAAGATCAAGAACCAGTTGATCCCAATAACTCGAGTTGTTGGGAGAGGTTCAATCGTGGATCATATACCACAATACTAACATGCCCCCCTCAAACGAAAGCCACTCACAAGGCTTGAAGTTTGCACAGGTCTGAAGATAAGAATACCATGTGCTTAACAAATGGGGGTCACTGGGAATCGAACACAAGACCTCTCGGTCACAGAAGGCTCTGATACCATGTCAAGAACCAGTTGATCCCAATAACTCGAGTTGTTGGGAGAGGTTCAATCGTGGATCATATACCACAATACTAACAACGACCATTCCAAGGCCCACTGGTCCAATAAGGGGACGTAATTCGTCCCATTTGGGTCTATTTGGAGGGAGAAAATCCCAGGGGCAGGATCATCCATACGCTTCCATGAGACAAGGTTTGTGTATTTACCTGTCATTTTGTTGCGCCTGATCTCTGTGCCAGGCAAGAACGTATCAAAACTCTGCCACAAGGTCCCATCATCGTTCTCAGAAGCAGAAGACGAAACCCTTAACACGAGATTTCCATTGTTGAGAAGTACAACTTCTAATGAAGAGGAAGAAGTGGTCGGGGTGGCATCCGTGGACCAAATTGGGACCTAGAACCTGCTGAACAACCGGAGATCCTCAACTCGGTGGAGGACTTTTTGAAAATGGGCGTTTCTCTATTTGCGATCCAAACTACGGTTCTGACGGTTACTCTGTAGTACCAGATCCCCAGGTAGTAATTGGTTGAGTTACCTAGCTTGACGAAACCCATTTCGAAGACGCTCCCGGCAGAGACGATGGTTTGGTTTCCGGAGAGAGATTGGTTTTGAGTGATCCTGTTGCTGTCCGCAAGGCAGATATGGGTTTTCAGCGACAAGCAAGTGAAGATGATGACTAACATGTTTAGCCAGAGATGATGGAGCCTGACTTCCATGGTTGGTTCCGGAATCGGAGAGGGGAAGAAGAGGGAGATTTTCTTAAATCTTAACGAGTAGCTTGACAAAGAACTAATGATTCAGGAAGCGAATTTTGCCATGAGCATATCAAGCAAGTCAAGATTGCTGGCTGAGGAGGGAAGACTTGTTTGGCTACTGTGATAGTGAATGATATCTGGCCAGTGGCCAGCCAAGGGCTCCGAGACAAAAGGCCAACATACAAAATATGAATTCCTGAGTTGACTACAGAAATTGAGCGGTCATGTGGACTAGGTGGTCAAAAATGGAGTTCTACAATAACTTACCAGAAACATTCGTTCTTCTTCACCCTGCAAATCCCATATGAGCAAATTGATGCAGCAATCTGCGTCCACGACTAGCTGTAAATTACAATGGACGATCATCCTCCACTAAAGCTCCTTGTGTTTCAATACGCCACTTCCCTTTTGTTTTTGCTCTTCCACCTCTGCCTCGCAGCCGACAGAGTCACTCCCGACCAACCGCTCCTCAGCAACCAAACCATCGTCTCCGCCGGCGGCGTCTTCGAACTGGGTTTCTTCTCTCCGGGCAACTCCACCAACTCCTACTTAGGGATTTGGTACAGCAAAATCCCCTTGCAAACTGTAGTCTGGGTCGCAAACAGAAACACTCCCATCCCCGACCGATCTTCATCGGCGCTAACCATCTCCAACGGCACCCTGCTTCTCTTCAGAGAATCCGGTGTCCCAATTTGGGCAGCGAGTGTTAGCAGTATATCGTCGGAATCGCCACCAGCTCTTGAAGCTGTACTCCACGATAACGGCAACTTCGTGTTAATTGATTCTTCTTCTTCGCCGCCGCCGCTTTGGCAAAGCTTCGACTATCCAACGGACACGCTTCTTCCGGGGGCCAAGCTCGGGAGGAACAAGCTCACCAACGAATTCACGAGCCTGACGTCATGGAACAACGCTTCAGATCCAGCTCCTGGCGCCTATTCTTTGCAATTGGACCCCAAAGGTACTATTCAGTTCGTAACTCTCTACAAAAACCTAACCTCAGCCACCACGATTCCAGGGGCAGAATTGATGAACAACAATTCCTATACGGAGAACGACAGGGAGCTGTATTTCACCTTCAACGGTTCATCATCATCAGGCGGCGCCAAATCTCGCATCCTCTTGGACAGTAAGGGAATTGTACAGGGATTTTCCTGGGTTGATTCTACCAGCAAATGGTCCTTAATTTGGCAGGAGCCGCGGGACCAATGCCGAGTATTCGCCTTTTGCGGCGCATTCGGGAGCTGCGACATTGCTTCCTCGCCGCCCTGTAGTTGTTTGACAGGGTTCGTACCGAAATCGCCACAAGCATGGAGCCTGCGAGATTATTCTGATGGATGTGTGAGGAAATTTCCTCTGGGTTGTGAGACTTCTGAAGGTGATAAGAAAAATGACCGGTTTGTTGAAGGGTATGAATTGCCTGATAAAGGCGGCCAGTTGTCTGTTGGGGGTTCCAGTTATTCAGTTGGTAGTGCTCAGCAGTGTGAATCCATTTGCTCATATAGCTGCTCTTGTACTGCTTATGCTTATCAGGCAAATGTTTGTTCGATTTGGTCAGGGGAGCTTTTTAATCTTCTGAAGCTGCAGAACGATCGCTACAGCCAGCCTGTGTACACAAGGCTTGCTGCTCTTGAGAATGAGACTCTTGGTTCCAGAAGCAATCTGAAGAGAAAATTACTTATTGGATTTGGTGCTGCTGTGGGAAGCATTGCTATTCTCGTTATCGTCGTGGCTTTGGTTTCTATTACTAGAAGAAACAGAAGAAAGCGGAAAGCTGCCAAGAATTACATGGCTGAGATTGAGAAGAACAAGTATGGAATAGGGGGAGGGGATGGGCAGAATAATGACACACAGCTCAGCTTTTCCAGTCTCAAGGATGTATTGGTTGCTACTGATAACTTCTCAGAAGCTAACAAGTTAGGAGAAGGTGGATTTGGTCCTGTCTACAAGGTTGCTTTGCTTCTTTACTTGACCCTTTTGATTTTAGGTTGCAAATTTGCTTTCTTTGTCTGACTTTTTGGTTCAGTTTTGTTGCTTCCTTTGGCTTATTGAGAGGGTATCTTTTATTCTGTTGACAGGGGAAGTTGAGTGGTGATCAAGAGGTAGCAATGAAGAGGCTTTCCAAGAAATCAGGACAAGGTTTAGAGGAGTTCATGAATGAGTTGAGGCTCATTGCCAAATTGCAGCATACCTATCTGGTTAGGCTCCTGGGCTGCTGTGTTGAAAGAGATGAGAAGATATTGATTTACGAGTACATGCCCAATAGGAGCTTGGACAAGTTCCTCTTTGGTAGTCACTCTCTCGCCTTCATTCTGTTGGCTTGATGTTGATGGTGCCCGCATGAAAGCAAGTGTTCTGAGATAAACTTCACTATGATTTCCCATTGATCAGGTTCATCTGAAAAGGCAACGCTGGATTGGGCAGTACGCGTAAAGATTGCAGAGGGTGTAGCTCAAGGACTACTATACATCCATAAGTATTCAAGGTTGAAGGTCATTCACAGAGATCTGAAGGCAAGCAATGTTCTGCTGGATGCAGCAATGAATCCCAAGATTTCAGACTTTGGAATGGCAAGGATTTTCGGTATTGATCAGGCTGAAGCAAACACCAACCGTATAGTTGGAACATAGTATGTGCTTACCTCATTCTTTTACCCGTTTGTTTTTGTTTCTAATCTATTACCAGCCAAAATTTGATTGATCAGACTAAAACTAACAATTTAAATTGTGATACAGTGGTTATATGTCTCCGGAATATGCATTCTATGGCCAATTCTCTGAGAAATCAGACGTGTTCAGCTACGGGGTGTTGCTGTTGGAGATAGTGAGCGGAAGGAGGAACACAGACTTCTATGATCCTGAAATCCCATTCTCACTTGTCTGTTGGGTGAGTACTTTACAATACTTGCCTTTCTAGTTTTCTAATCACACCAACCATTAACTTAGAGCTAAGCGTTTTTTTATTATGTGTATACATGTTTTGATTGAAGGCATGGGAGCTATGGAAAGAAGGGAAACCAGAAGGGCTGATTGATCCGGCAGTGAAGGATACCTGTGTTAATCATGTAGAAGCCGTGAAGTTCATCCATGTGGGTCTTTTGTGCGTGCAAGAAGTTCCAGGTGACAGGCCAACCATGTCTTCAGTAGCTCAGATGTTGTCGAGCAGCGATTCTCAGTCGTTTCCATTGCCAGGAGAACCGGCCTTCAACACTAGAAGAGCTGTTGCTGTTGTCGAAAGTGGCGATCAAGTTCGCGTCAATTGTTCAAACAACCAGTTGACGATGAGCTTGCCAATTGGGAGATAGAAAGCCAGGCACTAAAAGCATCTGCTATTTGCAGTGCGATCAGTAACCTTCATTGTTGTAGCAGCAGGCCCATTAGTGCCTATATAGTTATGTATTACTCTCTGTAAATCTTAGATATAAGAAAGGATTTGTAGTAGAAGTTGAATATCACCACGAATGGGCATTCCCCATAATCTTCAGATAAACTCTGGAAGTCACCTCATCACTGAAAGAACCCGCTTCTAGGTATTCTAGAGACTGATTTTCGGCACCCGCGTTAATCGTAACAAATAGGGATTTAGGGGTTGAGATAAGGAATTAGGGATTTAGATGAGAATTACATAATAGAATTGTGAATCGGCCGAAGCCTTGGATTAGGAGAGAATAAAAATTAGGAGTTGAGAGGGATTAGAGTTAAGAGAGATACTTTGCTTAATACTTTTCTTGATTGATTTTGAATGAACCCCCAAATACATATTTATTAGAAATAAACTCAAAATCCTAACAATTAACCTTAACCAATTCGGCCACCATGGCCGCCTAACTCTACTAACCCTAACACTTCTTATTATCATTATTCTAATATTCTAATAATTTTTATGTCTAACTCTAACATTCCACCCTCCTTGAAAGCGACCTTGCCCTCAATGTTGCAGTCAACTTTCTTCTTCATGACCTTCCGTTTTCTACGTTTCCAATTGCGCTCCATCTCATGAATGATCCTCCTTTCAGCAACTTCGACTTTCTTCGACTCTTGTCCCGCAATGTAACACACATCACCTTGTCTCCAGCCATACAATTCTTGCTCTTCTCTTTCGAAGTCCACAAAATAAGAATCGGAGAACTGCTCTTCCATGATGACATACTCATTAATCACCTTGAAATATTCAATGAATTGCTCTGTTGATTCCGCCAAGTGCTCTATGGTGAAGATATATTCTTTTGGGCTCCATCCTTCTTCAACTGGTTTTGAATTAAGCTTCTTTGAAAGCCCAACTCTTACTCCAATGAGCCCATTTACTTCTTCCTTCCTATTTTGTTCCTTCAAAATAAATCTAATAGAAAAGCCCATTGGTGGGTCGAATCCCTCTTGATAACCCGACCCATAATTCCTTTGCAACCAAAGCCTCTCTTTCTTCTTCATGCCACTACCAAACTCTTTCTCGGCCCAAATGCCTCTTGGCTTCGGGCCGCCTTGTTGGCTACCTTTCAGCCCACTACTGAGCTCCCTCTACGCCCGCTTTAACTGATCAATCCTCGCTAATGTGTCCGTGGATTTCGATCCAATTCAAGAGAGATCTTGTTATTAGGTTACTATTGGGCCACCCTAGGCTTGGGCCGCGAAAAGCCCCACTCGGCCGCTGGTTTACGCAGTTTAGGATTGCATTTGATAGGAAACCACTGCCGCCTTCCTTCTTCTTCGGTTCCTTCTCCAGCGGCGCGCCATCCCGTCGACGGCACGACGGCCCTTCCGACCCTGTTACCATCTTCTCCTTCGAATCCTTCTCCGACGGCTTCCAAACCCGCAAATTGCGCAGCAGCCACGAATTCGTCGCCGTCTCACCCCCTGCCTCGCACTCCAACGACAACTCTATCCATGGCGGCTTCTTCTGCATCGCCAATTCATCAATCGACATTTCGTCGGAGAAAGTGCAATCGTCACCCATATCCTTCTTCTCCTCCTTGTTGCTCATCGGAGACCACTCAGTCTTCCCCGGTGGCGCTTGCTTCTCCTCGTTCATCGACGACGCAAACTCGAGGAGGTTGGGAGGAAGGTTCAATGCGGCGCTCCTTTCCTCCGGCGACGAGTCTTCGACCCGACGGGTAGGAGTTGAGCTCCCTGCCTCATTCGTCTCTCCCCACAGAATCCTCAACTTCAGTGAGTTATCCTGGCGCTCGATCTCTAGGCCATCTCTAGCTCTTCGCTTCCTCTTCCAGAACTTCCATCCATCGATTTGATTACTCAATGGATATGAGGTCGTTTATGGAGCAGTGATGAGGGATAGGTTGGGCAGGAGCAACAACTTTTCAGCTTCTGCGGTTGCTAGATTCGTCCTTTTCAACAGAGGCTGCCTGGATACCCACAGCAGCTCTCGAGGTGTTGTTGCAGTAGTGCGGCAGCCACTCTTCTTCTCTTGACTGCGCTCCCCGCGCCTCCGCGATTGGCGTCACACCGGCGGTCACCAGTGCTGGGTCACCCTCTGGTCCTGCGACGGTGGCCACAACCTCCTGATTTGGAATCTCTCCTGCCGCCGCCATGATTGAGGGTGAAACCTTCATCATCGCCAACATAACGCGTGGCATAGTTCCTCCTCGCTCTAGCTCGATTGGGAACGCAGGTTGTTTCAACCAATCTTCGAAGTCCATCTCTATGATCAACGGTTGGATTACAGACTTACGGTGCAAGCATCTGGTAGTGGGATTGGACTCCTATACGTTCTTGCAACTTCCAACTTCATTTTAAGAATTCTTGTGAGTTCTTTGATTGAGAACCCTTCGAATCTCGACATGGCTCCGATACGAGTGTCTGCAACCGAACTATGATACCACTGAAAGAACACCGCTTCTAGGGATTCCAGGGACTGATACTCGGCACCCGCGATTACTCATAAAAAATAGGGATTTAGGGGTTGAGAGAAAGAATTAGGGATTTAGATAAGAAGAACATAATAGAATTGGGAATCGGCCAAAGCCTTGGACTAGGAGAGAATAGAAATTAGGATTTGAGAGGGATTAGAGTTAAGAGAGATAATTTGCTTAATACTTTTCTTGATTGATTCTGAATGAAACCCCAAATACATATTTATAGGAAATAAACCCAAAACCCTAACAATTAACCCTAACCAATTCGCCCACCATGGCCGCCTAACTCTACTAACCATAACACTTCTTATTTTCATTATTCTAATATTCTAATAATTTATATGTCTAACAATCACACACTTTAGGGGTGAGTTTTAAGTTTTTAACCCTTGAATTTTCCGGAGTGAAAAAAATGCAGCCTAGTCCCATCAAGTCATCAACAAACCAGTCTTAAATTTATACCTCAATTATTTTTCTTTTTCCTGCCCTACGTGTGGGACGGTTTGGAAAAAGAGGGAAGGAAGGAAGGAAGAAAACTGCAAAGTTGATAAGTCTAGGTTATACGGTAGAGGTTTCATTAAGAGCGATGAATCGATGCTCACAAGTTGGAAACTTTCATTGCTTCCATGTTCCCCTACGCTATCATTGTACTATTAGTAAGCCTCCCACGTTTGTCCTTCATTTCCATCCACAAATTCTTTCCACTCCCGCCATGGCCACACTCTGCATCAATCTCCCGCTTCTCATCCTCGCAACAGCTTTCTTCGTCCCCTTTCAATTCGTGATAGAAACATCATTATTAGGGATATTATTAATATGGTTAGTAGTTTTTAGTAGAGTTAGGTTTATTATCCAATTTTCATATCTTTCCCTATAAACATCTATTTGGGTATTGAGTTCTAATCAAACAAGAACAATCATTCAAAAAGTATCTCTTAAACCCTACTCTCTCCCTGACCTCTATGTTTCTAAGGCCTCGACTGATTCTTAATTCTATTCTTTTTCTTACCCAAATTCTCAATCTCAATCCCTATTTCTATCTTCTAATCCCCAATTGTCTGATTTCATCCCTACAATCTCAAATGTCGATCCGATAACCCGTTAGAAACATCCGTTGATCGAATCACCCGCAACCCGTCTATCTCCGGAAACTAGACCATCGTCTCCTCCGATCATAACTTCGTCTTTGACTTCTTCTACCCAGCATCAACAACATCTAAAAAACACTACATTGTGATCGGGTACGTACTACCGAGTCCATCAACCGCAAACCATAGTCTGGGATAGCAAACAAGGTTAACCTGTGTCTTACCCATGAGGGGTTAATTGCACAAGATGCCACTTAAGTTCACCATTTGTTGCATGATGACCACCTAAGTACATCTTGTTCACCATTTATTGTTGTCCTGGTAATCTTAAGATGGAGAGTGAACCGAAAGGCTAAACCTTGACAGGTCATGGAAGGGTCTATAACGGCTTTTACCCACAAAGAGTTGAAGATTGCTACACAGAATTTCATGGAGAAGTTGGGAGAATGAGGTTTTGGTTCTGTTTATAAAGGTAAACTGCCTGATTCAAGTGTTGTAGCAGTTAAGAAGGTGGAGGGCATCAGGTTCAGCCACGTTGACAAGCACATGCAATTCCTTGCGGAAGTTAGGACCCTTGGTGCAATCCAACATGTCAATCTGGTTGGTCTCAAAGGGTTCTCATATGATAATTCTGGGATGCTATTAGTATATGACTATATGCCAAATGGTTCATTAGCATCTCACTTGTTCAAAGAAGTTTGCTCAAAGACCCTAGACTGGAAAACGCGATATAACATTGCATTAGGAGCACAAAGGCTTGGCATATCTACAAGAGAAGTGCAGAGAATGCATAGTTCACTGTGACATCAAGCCAGACAATGTGCTTTTGGATTCCGAGTTCTTTTGTGGGGAACAATAGGGTTCCTAGCACCGGAATGGATTTCAGGGGAGGCAATAACTGCGAAAGCTGATGTATACAGTTATGGGATGATGCTCTTTGAGCTAGTATCAGGAAGGTAAAACTCACAGCGAAATATAGGGCTGGCTATTTGGTCCGGGCTATTTGGTTTTACTCGAAATCGGACCATATAACTCCTCACTCTTTGAGGTCTTACGCTACTCAAATCCGCACAAGTTCAATCTAAATCAAGACCGAATCGGGACCGGACCGGGTCAAGACCGAACCATATCAAGACCAAACTGTATCCAATCTAATCTTTGTCCTTATATTCCCGAAAAGACTGGAATGAGACCAGATCAATTCGGGCAAATTTAACCAGATTGGATGAGAATGCTAATATTGAAGAGGTGGGAAGAATTTGTAGAGTTGCTGTGTGGTTCATGTTAATAATACGATCACAAATACGAGGGAGACGAGACACAGATTTACGTGGTTTCCTTGACGAGAATCGTCAAGACTAGTCCACGGCACAAGGCAGAGATCGATCTTATTCACTGTGTTCTACCGTAGGTCAGCCATCACAGCATATATATACACGGCCAACCTGCAACCCTAACTCCATCTTACGTCACTTATTTGTACAATTACAAATTGGTACCTACACTTCTAACACCCTCCCTCAAATTGATGTAGCTGACGCAACATCAATTTGTGT